AACCCAAAAAGATTGGTGGTGCCCTTTAGATTATATATTCATATTCTTCTATATTTTGATGATAACAATTAACTAAAAAATAGACTAATATTATCTTGTTGAGAATAAATTTAAACATGTTTATTCGAAGAACATATCAACAAGCCAAATGAAAATAAGTCTAAGAAGTAAAGCAAATGAAGACTAAAAATTAAGTGTTCATTTTAGTGTTTATGTAAATTTTAATATCATACTTGATAACACTAATTAAAATAAATGCACACACTTCACTTTACGATAAAACGATTCTAAGAAGTCAACAGGTTTAAAATCGCCAAAACTGAAATTTTGCATTAATCAGTCAATTATTTGGTGATACGAGATGAATCAGTTGACCACTTCTTCATCATGGATAAGCACTTAGGAATTGACAAGAACTAATTGATCAATTGACTTGATCAATTTGAACTAGTCAACCATTTTAGCTATTAGCGAGATATTAATGGTTAGAATCAGCTAATTTCTTTTGTAAACTTATAAATAGCTCTCATTCTTGTAAAAATAAAAGATAATTCTAGACATGCAATATATAAAGACTACTTTAAAAGCAAGACTAGCTAGAAATCATTAATCTTGACATACTCTAAAATTTTGCTAAATTGAACCTTCATATTCTAATACAAGAGTATAAATTATCACACTCATTGCACTTAAATATTTTTATATTTTCTCATATCATAGTTTTCAATTGTATTATCCACTCTTTGAGAGATTATTATTACATTTTAAACAATTGTAAACCTTCAAGAATTTCAGTGAAAAACTCTTAATCATTAGTAAGATGCATCACCAAAGTGAAAAAATTTTAAGAGAATATTTCCTCACGTGGTGAAAAGGGAGTTAGTGAGGACTCATCAAGGATATAGTAATCTTTAGCTTGTATTACTTAAGAATATAATACTCAAGACCAATTATGATGCTTGAGGTATTGATACAACCTTTCTATACCACGTTAAAAACTAAGTTTGCAACTTCTATCTCTTTACTCTTTACTTTACATAATTTAATTATATTGTTAGTTAATTATATTAATTGAATTAATTTCAATATTTGTTATTATTAGTGAAACTTTTAATTCACCCCCTTGGATGTACTGTTGCCTTAATTATAAAATAATAGTTATGTATAACATCTTGCCATACTTATACATGTTTAAAGTCAACATGTAGCTGAATCTAAAAAAGATTGAGTTTGATATCTTGCCAGACTGATATATATTTAGACTCAGTGTATAACTGAACTCATGAATATTTGATTTTATTTCTTGCTAGACTCGCATAATGCATTTGAGCTTAGCATATATTTAAACCTAAAAAGGTTGAATCTAGCATTTCGTCAAACCCAACGTATACTTAGAATCAACATATAGTTAAATACAAAAATATTAGGAGTAAAAGAAAGTCACATCTTTGTTATCTAGACCTAGCGTTATGCCAAATCTAGATGCATTATGTTATTATCTTGCTTTGAGCTTTCTAATCATGGATTTTTTAAGCCGACATATCAACTTAATATTGATATAACAAAGTAGCTAAGTTCTGCAGCTAAATCGTTCTAGTCAATGGACTTCGTTTTAAGAATAAATTCATGAAAACGATTTATCAATTTTAAGAGTTCATACCAGCATCATGAAAGGTTGAAGTTCTAAAAGTCATTTACTCGTCCTTTGATTTGGAAAGTAAACACCGTGTTGTTATCCTCTCTTTTTTTTCCTTATATGTATAAAAAAAATCAATAGAACAAGGGATGAAAAAAAAGGGGTGCAAAATCATCAAATCCAGCAGCCGTTAAGAGTAATTACTCGTATTCGTTCGAGTTTTGAATGCCCTGTCGTGGAAGGAAAGATTGAACAGGACGAGCAATGTCAAACTTCCAAATTTCAATTGTCAACGCAGCTTTTTCAATAAAATGCGGCTCAGCTTATCCATTACCCATAAAAAAAAACTAAGATGATATTAATAATTATTTATTGAGCACCATTAAATTTTATATCGAGAACCCCACAAAGGGCATATCCTTTTAATATGAAAATCTTATGAAATTTTACAGATTAATTGTAATTGAATATTCCAAATGGCATTTCAACATATCCTTTTATTATGAAAATCTTAAGAAATTTTACAGATTAAATATTGTAATTGAATATTCCAAATGGCATTTCATAAAAAATTAAATTAATTTTTTATATTATTAGATTATTTTGATATGTTAATGTCAAAAATAATTTTTAAAAAATAAAAATAAATATTATTTTGATATATTTTTCAACAAAAATTATATTAAAAAGCAACCACTATTAAAATTCTCTAAATCAACTTAAAATATTAAATATTAAACTTTTTATAAAATTTCTTCATGATAGCTACTGCCAATTGCCAGCTCTTCAACATTACATTCTTGCTGAATTTATTTAACTAGATTAGCACTTTGCTGGTGGAGGATTTGGTCAAAAGAATCATATAAAAAAAGGGGGCAAATATTTTAAAAAAAATTAACCAACTTAGACTGATTCATAAAAAAAAAATTAATTAAAAAACACTCTTTAATATGTTAATTTTCTTCCAAATTAATGGCCGCAATAGCATCAACGCCAATTACTTTTATTTTTGTTTTTCTGTGTCCAAGAAATTTATAAAAAATAGATATAGATTCAATAACTTATTATTTCCGTGACATGCTTTACCTATCTTATAGATTAAGGTATGATTACGGACCGGGTAGTGATTAAAAGGTCTCAAGAAATTGGATTAATGGTTGAGAGATTCAACTAATCGTGGCACACAATTAACTAATAATTTATATATTAATTATCCCTGTTTTTCTTCTAATTTTGAGAATCGGTACATAAATATTAATTCAACCGTATGATACTGAACAAGCAGAAGCCCTCCAAAACCACCAGAAAATTAACCAATAAATCAAGACAATTGCAGAGCCTTTATTTGAGATGTAAATGCAATGCAACATGATCGATGGCGTTTTCTTGGGACAAATTATTGTCCAAGAAATGTCAAACTTCCAAATTTCCATAGCCAACTCAGCTTTTCCAATAAAATGCGGTTCACCTGGTGATGCCCACTAGACTTACGTGGAACATGACAAGTTACAAGCTTTCACGCGCACTCTTAGTTAATTTTAGGAGTTTTAAAATTAATAATTATATAAATTTTTAATAATTTTTAAATTTATAAAACTCAAAATAATAATTTTTAAAAAATAAATCTACTAATTAAACTGCACATCTCAAGATTTAAGATTATATGTTCAAGATCCCTCAAATAAGAAACTTATTTATTTACATTGTAATTAATTTTGATAAATTAATAATTTTAATTATGCAGTATTTTTATTCTATCCTAATTTAAATTTAAAGTTTAGATAATATCCTAATTAACTAGTTAATGAATTTTAATAATTTTAAATTTATTAATTTATAGAGATTTAACTGTAATACAAAATTTCACTTAATGTATTGGTTGATGATAGCCAACCGTGCATCTAATATTAAACAAGTTGGATGAGATTTTCATCTCTCAAATTAGCTAATTGATACATAATTTTACTAATTAATGTATTGATTATTTCCTCCTCTTTAATTTTTTTATGCAACTATAGTAAGGTTTGGGAACGCGGTGCAAACCGCGTTCCCAAAAAATTTATTTTTTTTTAATTTTTTGTTAAAATTTAATATGTTTTGGATCGTTTTATATGTTAATACTAAAAATAATTTTTAAAAAATAAAAAAATATTATTGACATAAATTTCAACACGAAAAGTTATTTGAAAAGAAATCACAACCACACTATTAAACAGACTCTAAATAACAAAGAACAATTTTGTCTTATGTTATATAAAACCTTCTTTTGGTAACGCGGTTAATTCAAATTATTTTTTAAATCAAGTGTTTTTAATTTTTTTTAATATTAAAAACTTATAAAATAATTTTTAAAATATTTTATAAAAATATCCAACACTGTATTATGCATCAAACACAGGGAAAAAGAAAAAGGATAGCGAAGATTAGGGTGGAAGAAGAAGTCATCCAAAACGCACATAAAACCAATAACTCAAGAGTACTCGTTTATTTGTGGTTAGAGAAGGCAATAAGGAAGTCGCTGTCAATTACAGAGGGCGTAGAGTAGAAAGTTTCTAATTCCATGTTATGTAATGGCCAATTAGACGCTCTTTGTTTTGAATTGACCTTGTCCATTAATTCAAGTCATATTATCAATTTCATCGACTCGCATTATTTTATTCTCCTAATTTAAATTCATGTAAGCATTGATAATTCCGCAATTTATAATTTTTTAGTAATGTCTTCTCCTACTTGTCCTAAAAAAAAGTAAATAAGTTGTCACCGTTAAACGGATAAAAAACGATTAAGATAGAAGCATGTCTTCTCCTAGCTACTTGTCCTATAATAAATTAAAGAGAGTGCTATTTATTAAAAAAAACACAACACAACAAAAATAAAACTGAGATTTTTAAAATAATTTTATATTAATTATTTAATATATATATATATATAGAGTTAAAATAAAACTATTATGAGAGTCTTAATAAAAACTTTAAGGTTTTGAATTTAGATAATTTCTTAATATAGGAAAATAGCTTTAATTAATAAAGTCAATTAATTTTATATATATATATATATATAAATATATATAAAATTAGTTCAAATCTTGTTATCTTTTTCTTTATATATATATATATATATATATATATATATATTCTATCTTTACGCGTATCCCTAACATATATACATGTATGAAAGTCAATTAAACCTCGTACAAAAACTTGATGAAAGCGCAGTACTCGTTGTCAGCACATAGTTTCCATGGTCATGCTCGATTTCTATATAAAGGTCTCATGCCTCTCTTTGTAAGCAAATCACCTAGCTATCGGTTCCCATTCTCGTTTACGTACAGAGAAGACAAACATGGCCGCGTTATTCATTCTCATTCTTGGCTTGTTGGCTAGTAATGCTATAGCCACTACCACACCAAACCATAAGATTCATTCTCTTAATCGTCATAGTTTTCCTCCAGGTTTCATTTTTGGGTCTGCATCTGCAGCTTACCAGGTCATTCTTAAGCATTACTTTTCCATCATCTAGTGATTTTACCATGTTTATGATGCATGGGTTTTTTTTTTTCCAACACACCACTTTACCCTAAAAAGACATAACTTTTTTTTCCTGTTGGACTGACTAAAATCTTGATTCTATTTTCAAAGTGATGATTCTATTCTGGGTGTTTCTTAAACTTGGTATTTTTCTTGTGTTGTTACTGTTTATATAAATATTTAAATGTATATTTGATATCATGAGGCGGCATTTATGTTTGTTTTTTTGGCGCTCAATTAATATCTCCTTTATAACAAAATAAAAAAATAAATTTCGACGTTAAACCCTATCATGTTGTACATTTTCTCAGTACGAGGGTGCAGCTTTCGAAGATGACAAAGGACCAAGTATTTGGGACACATTTACACATAATTTTCCAGGTTTCTTTTTCTTGTCATAATGTTTTATATAGAGTTTTTCCTTAATTTTGTTTGTGGGATAAACATTAAGATCAACTTATGTAATGCTTTCTTATCTTTCTTCATTTTCGTTAATATGTAATGCATTATTTATTCTAATTGATTGATTCTTTTGGATATGGTGCACGCATTGGTGTTGATATGATCGCACCCTATAGTGCATTAATTATTAACCCTACTGTTTTGCAGCAATTGATCAGATAATTCGTCGTCCATCACTCTTTAACAAGTAATACTATATAAAAAATAAAAATAAAAACAAGTGGTTTGCTTCCCTACCCATGGCAAAATTGCAAGATCCCCGCTACACACGCACGCACACAAAATGACAACTGAGCACAAGTCCCTTTCTCTCTACCTTTTTCTTTATTCAGCCCTGGTGGACGTGGTTCTGTTGTTCTTCTATCTTATCGATGAGCTTAACATTAGATACACAGAGCAAAAATCCTAGGGGAGTTAAATGCTAAACGCATCGAATGTGCCTAAGGGCTACATCTTGACGAACCCTTGCTCGTTGAGTTGTGATATTGGGAGTGAATATTTTGTTTTTTATATATATGTGCAAAAATATTAATTGAGAAATATGTGCATGGTGAAATGCAGATAAGATAAGCGATCATAGCAATGGAGATGTGGCTCTTGATCAATACCACCGTTACAAGGTAATTAATCATGATGAGAGATAGGAAAACGAAGATTATTAAACAGGGTTTTCTAGTATGAATTATGAGTCTCGGGTTAATGTTCCACATTTAACCATGTCCATAATATTTCTCTGTAATAAGAACTCAAATACAACTTTGAAAAGGAAAGAAAGAAATTGTTAGGAACATTGAAAATCACAATCAGTCAAAAATAACTATTTTGTAGTGATATATATGACGGTATTGGTTTTATTTATTTATCTATTTTCCAATATATATATATATATTGAATGTCACAGGAGGATGTCAAGATCATGAAAGACTTGGGCTTTGATTCCTACAGATTTTCAATCTCATGGCCAAGAATATTGCCAAGTAAGATGATTCAATTAATTAGATCTGCGTATCACTTGCATCCATCTGTTACTGCCATCATTTTTCGCAGTAAATTTTAAAACTCAAATGGTTATGCTCTAACATGGAACCTTTTGTTCTTAATCACTAAATACTTTCAGAAGGGAAGCTAAGTGGGGGCGTGAATAAGCAAGGAATCAAATACTACAACAACCTCATTAATGAGCTCCTAGCAAATGGTATTATGGCTAGGATTCAATCTTGTAATAATTATTTCCATCATCTAAGTTGATTATACCATGTGGACAAGTGAATTCATTTTGATCCTTGCTATAATGTTCAGGCTTGAAACCCTTTGTAACTCTCTTCCACTGGGATACTCCTCAAGCCTTAGATGATGGGTATAGCAGTTTCCTAAGTCCTGAGATTGTGTAAGTTCTAACATGATTAGTTTTCTTCATTAGATTTGAGTTATTTCTCCATGATATTGTGATTAACCAAAACCTATAATTACAGGAAAGACTTTGCGGACTACGCAGATATTTGTTTTAGAGAGTTTGGAGATAGAGTTAAGCATTGGATCACAATAAATGAACCAAATATTTTTAGTCAAGGTGCCTATGCGAAAGGAAATGCACCAAATCGATGTTCGGCTTGGCAAGAGTTAAATTGTACAGCCGGAGACTCATCAACAGAGCCCTATTTGGCGGGACACAATCTGATTAAATCTCATGCTGCTGCTGTAAAATTATACAAGACAAATTATCAGGTATAACTTTCAAAATCCTACGCAGCTATATACATATAATTGCCTTAAGAGGCATATTTGACATTAAGGGAAACCTTTTTTTACTTCTTTATGCAAATCATAACTTAAGGGTAAAAAAAAACAGTGTAATTAGGTATGTGTTGAGAGGCATTGAAAATGGAATTTTTGTCTCTTAATGACGTGCACTCATGGCCGCATATAGTGTAGCTTTGATGGGGCCATCCCCCCAAGCAAAAGAATTCAGAAATGCAATATTAGTCCCTAAAGTTTAGCTTTTTTTCCCTCTTCAAAGTGGTATGACATTCCTTCTTGCCCCTCTAAGAAATGTATCAATCCTCTAACCTCATGGTAAACTTGAATTATAAACCCTAAAGATCAAACAATATCTTCACAAAAATGGTCTCAAGCACGACAAGTTATCGAATGTTTCGTTCTTGCAGGAAACTCAAAAGGGCATAATAGGGATCACAGTAGCATCGCATTGGTTTGAGCCATATTCTGCTTCTATACAAGACCTAGATGCTGCAAAACGATCTCTAGATTTCTTGTATGGATGGTATGTGTTGCAGGTGTTGGAATTTATTTATTATTATATTGATTTAAATGAAATGACAACAAATTGTAGAATCATATTTTGTTGTGACTTTGCAGGTTCATGGATCCAGTAGTTTATGGCGATTATCCACGCTCAATGAGGTCTATTGTCGGAAGACGATTGCCCAAATTCACGAAGGAGGAATCCGAGTCAATAAAGGGATCATTTGATTTCATTGGATTGAATTACTATACTGCTTTCTATTCGGCCCTGTTGCCTGCAGCTAATATTACACATCCAAGCTACTTGACAGATAGTCTTGCCACCACTAGGAGTAAGCACGCCTTGAAAAAAATTCAAAGATAATCGAGGATTAATTTGTTGATTATCTCATTGGTCCAACGTTAACCCTTTTTTTTTTCCTGTCCTTTTGTGCATATAGGTGACCGTAATGGGGTTCTCATTGGTCCACAGGTGTGTATAATCAACTTAATAAAAAAATATTTTTTTATTTTTTATGATTTATAAGTAGGTGGGGGTGTTTAATTATAATTAAGGCTTGGGTTATCACAACTAATTACCATTACTGGTTAGGTATATATATATATATCAAGTAGTAGACCTGGTCTTAAGGATGCCTCGGGACCTAAGATGTGACTTGCTCTTCTGTTATTCATAGCTGACTCAAGATAAAATTTAGATTACAAGTCAGTTAGTGGTCAGGTTATGACCAAATCACCGAGTTAGTCAATTGTTTTTTTTAATATATATGCAATCCGACCTAGTTTAAACTATAAATCAATGGAATCACATATTTCTTCCATTCGACAAACCATAACAGGAAAAAAAAAGAGTAGGAGGAGGAGTATAGAACTTATTCACTGAATTCACAACTTATTAATTTCATAATTTTTTAATTTAAAAAAAATGCAGACAGGATCACCTTGGCTCCATGTTTATCCGAAGGGGATTCAGAAGCTTTTGCTTTACACCAAGAAGAAATACAAAGATCCAGTTATTTACATCACTGAGAATGGTAATTAAGGGACTTCTATTATCATAATTAACTACGTGATTTACCATTCCATTTTTTTCTAAAAGCCCATTAAATATTTGACATGAAATAAATCCCCTTGTTTAGGCGTAAGTGAGGTAAATAATGCCAATTTAACGCTTAAGCAAGCCCTTCATGACACCATGAGGATCGATTACTGCAATCGCCATCTCTCTTTCTTGAAATTAGCAATCGAGTAAGTACTTCTTAATTGATATTTGTTCCTAGCTCATAATTAACATTAAGATATTAATTCTTTGATGTTATGTTTTAATTTTGATAAATATTTTTTTTTTAATTTGTCTTTGATAGGGCGGGTGTCAGGGTGAGGGGATACTTTGCATGGTCACTCTTGGATAACTTTGAATGGAAATCAGGCTACACAGTTAGATTTGGGATCGTGTATATTGATTATAAAGATGGATTAAAGAGATATCCAAAACTCTCAGCTCGTTGGTTTAAAAACTTTCTCAAGAAATAAGGAGACACGATCCATTGATCTTATTTTATTTTTTCAGAATAAGCCATAAAATTGTATGTTGGAGAGGACAAAACAGAAGCCTTGGTTTCTGGTTTTCCTTTTCCTTTTCCTTTTTTTCTCCCTTTTAATTTCCCTATTATTTCTCTGCCCACAATAAGAATTGTTGGCAGAGCTCTACTGCTTGTACACTGTATTCTTTTCACTACATCAAATAAATGGCAACATCATTCAATAAATAGTGTATTCATTTTATTGGAGAGTTAATATATATAAACTTTAATTGATGAAGTTTTGAATTGAGATGTTTTTTTAATATGTTAGTAGTGTTAGGTGAAATTTCAAGATATGATTTATATTATTATTTAATATACCCTCTTAAATATAATTAATTTGGTGTTAAAAAACTTGCATAGATAGATATTATTTTGTGTTATTAATTAATTTTAATTAAAAAAATAAATAAAAGTGATGGTTTTTAAATTCATGATTTTTTGGTCTATAAAACTCTTGTATTATATCAAATAATTATCTTAATATAAATACTTAAGCTTTTAATAAAGGTTTTAATATATAATTTATATTATTTTTAAGTAATTAAGGTTTTAATAATTAAATTAATGGTTATAAATTTGAATCCTATAATTTTTATTTTTTTCTAATTAAAAAGGAGTAAATTATACCCAGGATAATGATGATTTTCCTCGCATTAAGATTTAGGTTAAAATGATTTATTTACATCTCAGGAAAGTCAACTGCAACAATTATAATACCTATGACCTTTAGAATTTTCTATATTCAATGAATAAGATATGATTTAGTGGATAAAGAAAAGCTACAATCTCTGTACCGAGCTTGGGCCCTGGAAGCTCATAAACCAAAAGAGAAGAAAACTAGGAAGGTTTCTCTCTCGTCTCTTTCACCTAACCAGTAAGCCATACACACAAGGGAAAGCCTTCGAACACCCGTAAGCCATCCTCTGATTTATTTTTAATTTTATATTATTTATTTATGTATGATTGATGGTTTTAATCAAAAAACATCCTTTTATTACCTTGTTGTCAATTGTTTTTTTTCATTGAAAATATTTACATGGTAAAAAAAAATAAAACTGGTAAGATTGAGGATGGATCCAATGGAGATGCGGCCATTGATTCATGTCGTCGTTACAAGGTACGTAATAATGATAATTTGGGAAATGGAAAATAAAGAATAGAAATCTGGTTTCTAGGTTACTAAATTAAATTTATTTTTAATTTCGAAACAATTCAGTATACATAAATAATATATTAATCACCACTCGTGTTCATGTTTTTTAAGCTGCTATTAAATAAAAAATCAAAGCACAATATTGATACGGGAAGATGTTGGGATTATGAAAAATATGAGCTTCGATGCAAAAATTCTCAAAACATAAAAAAAAAAAGGAGAAAAATTCTCATAATTTGGCTAACCCTGTTCTTTAGAACGCAATGCAAAACAGGGACTTCGTCGCTGTGTTTTGCAGGGAAGGTTGAGAGGTAGGCGGTGGTGGTTATGGGTAAAGGCTGTGTTTTGCAGGGAAGGTTGAGAGTGTTGGGAATTTCGACCGGTGATGTTCTGGATTGGAAACGAAGAGAGGTCGGGTCAATTGGGTTAGATGATGGGTTGATTGCTGGGATTTGTGGTGTTTCGGTCATCTGTACGTCTTCCCTCTTCTGTCTAGTAAAAATTTTTCCTCTTTTGTATGCTAGGATTTGTTTTTATAATACAAGAGTCCAAAGAAACATGAAAATTTAATCTTTATCTCTTTTGAAATTTAAATTTGAAAAAACAAATAATATAATAAAATTTATCTTGAAGATCTGATTTTGCTGGAGTTTACAAAATCTAACCATATACTTTAGTTCTTAATTTTTTCAACAATTGACAAATCACGTTAATAAGTATAAAGTATATAGATGTTTTTATTTTGTTTACATTATGCTTTTAATGTGTTTTAAACTTATTTGAGCTCATTGAAAATAATGTTATAAGTTTGGTATGCCTAGAATGCTTGATGAATTAATTGCTAAAAGATAATAAATTATATATTTTATATTTCAGACCTTAAATTAATTAAAGTTAAACTATATATATTCATCTTTAGATAAAGGTATTAGGTGTAAAAGTCTTATCTCTTATCACACTTGAAAATTAACCCAAAATCCTATTAACATTAAAATTTAATCTTTATCTCTTTTAAAATTTGAATTTGAAAAGAAAAGAATCTAATAAAATTTATCTTCATGATGTAATTTTTCTAGACTTTAAAAACTATAATTATATGCTTGTCAAGTAACCATCTCAACCAAATAACTTAAATTGTTATGTAAAAATTTTATATATGATTTATATTATTCTCTAACACATCCTTCAAGTTAAAGCTTTTTAGGTTTGAAACTTACACAGTCTTATATTACCTTATACTTGATTTTTTATTGAATAAATAATAATGATGAAATTTGAATTCGTAACCATTTAATCATCAAAATTCTGATACCATGTCAAGTAATTATCTTAACTTAATAGTTTAAGCTATTTGATAAAACCTTAATATATAATTTATATTATTTTTTAATTAATTATTCATTCACCAATTGACAAATCTCGTCAGTGATCAAAAATATTTTCTAAATTTTTAATTTTTAATTTAACCCATAAAAAATTAAATCAAAATAAAATGGGGGGTGTTATAACAACATGCATAAAACCCTTTATTACTAAATTATTATAAGATCAATATGGACAAGTTGTGTAATTAACTCAATTCTCTTGAGAATTCCTACATTTTTGGATAAAAGTTTTGCCATAACTAAATTGAAATGACTTTCAAAACTGTTATAATTTAATTTTTGACTCCTTTTATTTTATTAAAAAAATATATAAAATGATAAAAATGAAGAATAAATTGAGATTTAATTAAAATTTAGATTAATTTTAATAGCCAAGTCAAGATTTAATTGAATTAATATCAAGATTTGGGGCTGATTTGGGTTAAAATTATAAGAAATTAAAGTTGAAGGATCATTTTGTAAATTTCCCTAAAATACAGGGTTTTAATTATAATTTACCAAGCGGCTTGATTACAAAACTTCCAAACATTCAAGGACCAAAATGAAAATGGCCATTAACATTTCATCTACTCCATCCCGATTCAACAGAAACGGCAGAGAATGTGGTAATGTCTTTTGCCCACGATGTGCCATTACTAGATGCTATCCCAGCGGCTGCGTGATCACTCTAGGAGGTGCAAGGGCGTTATCTTGCCAAAAAATATCGAGCACAGCAGATGAACAAGGGGAGGAGTGAACCGGCAGGAGAGAGAGAGAAGCAAACAAAACAGAAACAAGCGAAGAATAACCAGAGAAAAAGTCAACGTACCCCAGCTTCGCCTTCGTCTTCAACGCACAAATTCACAGACGAGCAGGGGCGGAACTAGGGGGTGGCAAGCAGGGGCCCGGGCCCCTGCAAAACATTTTAAAATCTTTTATTATTTAATATTTTTAATTTAAATAAATAAACTTTTTAATAATATATATATTATTACATTAGTTTTGGCCTCCCCTAACGAATGAATCTAGCTCCGCCCCTGCAGACGAGGGGGGGAAAAGGGCAGAAACAGATGGGGGAAGAACGAATAACACTAAAGGAAAGAAAGGGAGAATGAAACAGAAGGGGAGAGGAAATCTGGGCCAGCCACTACACCTTCATCATTGTCTTCTTCCAGACCAGTGCCAGTCGCGACTCCGGTTGCACCAATTCCCCCCCTTCCCCTGAACAGACGGACTCAAAGGAAAACGGGGGGGGGGGGGGGGGGGGGGCGAGGAAGAGAGTCAAGAGAACAGGAGAAAAAGAACTGACAGAGAGAATGTAGAAAGATAGAGGACGCACGAAGAGAGAAAACCAGAGGCAGAGTGAAACAGAGGAGAGGGACGGTTGAAGTCCTGCATAACTCCAGCAGCCAAGAAAATAAAAAAGCAAGAACCAGAGGAGTAGACGAAAAGCAGAAACAAAGGGGAGTAACACGGGCCAGTCATCATTTTCACCTCTGACAACACCTGAACCAGGTAAGTCTTTTGTTCTCTCATTTGCATTATAATTCACAGCTATAGTAGCTGTGAATTATAATTCGCTTGCTACTGTAGCAAGTGAATTATAATTCACCTGATTCTTGTTTACGCAGCAGGCGTGTGTGATGGACGCCTGCTACCCAGCCGGGTTACTGGTTTAGGCCAGTAATCAGGCTAAACCAGCTAGGTTTAACCCAGTTTTTATGGGTTGGATCAAACTCAATCCTTCAAAAAAATATATGCATTCTTAAAAATAAATTTATTTTTATTAATTTATTTATTGATCCCAAAGTTAGGAATAAAAAATATTAATTTAAATTAATTTTGTTTTATTTAGCTACATAAAAAATAATAAAATATATATATACATAAAAATAAATTTATTTTTATTGATTTCAAAGTTAAAAATAAAAAATATTAATTTAAATTTATTTTATTTTATTTAGCTACATAAAAAAAATATGTATATATAAAAATAAATTTAGTTTATTTGTATAGCTACGTAATATTTATTAATGCTAGATTTAGAAGTATTCATAATTAAATATTTACTAACATTAAAATCAAGAATATTACATCATATCATAAACTAATAAAATATTAGTAATTTATAACAAAAATAATAATACAATTTATCTTAAATCGGACATTTAAAGGATAATAATATTTTTTATTTTATATAATCAATCTTATATTATATAATTTTTATTGATAATTAGGATTTTTAATGATAATAATAATACTAAATGATATCTTTTTAATTAAAATTATTTATTATTAAAAAATAAAATGTTAAAAATTTATTCTTTTCACTGAATTTTTTTTAAGACAGGTGTGATATCGGATATGACAAAGACCATGCGGAGATATGTTTTGAAGCATTCGGTGATCGGGTGAAGCACTGGATTCCATTGAATGAACCATGGACCTATAGCAGTGGTGGCTCTTCCTCAGGCAAGTCTGCACCTGCTGATCGATGTTACAGATTGGCAACGATTAAATTTAACCGGAGGAGATTCAGGAGTAGAGCCATTTTTGGTGGCCCATAATCACCTTCTTGCTCATGCCGCTGCTGCTGTGAAATTGTAATAATAATAATCAGGATTGATCTTATGGTTTGATATAGCAAGTACTCATAGTTTTTTTTTCTAGTTTCTTTAAATGACTCATCACAAAGAAGAAGTACATCACTGAAAATGGTCATGAACGTTTCAAATTAAAAACAAATAACACTGCAATAATCCTTAACGTGAAAAAAATTAAGTATAGAAGTTATTTTTTTCTTAATCACGACAAGCTTTCGATTTGTTCAGGGTTCAGTGAATTTAATAATGAGTCATTAACTCATCTTTGGCATCAACCATGTAGATTATAAAGATGTACTGAAAAGATATCATAAACTGCAGCCCATTGGTCAAGAGCTTTCTCAAAAAATAGACATACATGCTGTCTTCCAAGAAATAAAAGCAAAATATAAATATAATGATCTAAACTTTATATTTGATATTGTTTTGTATTTGTGAGTCAGATTATTTGTGGTTATAATCCTTTCTTTTGAATATTATTATGTATGGTTAGTGGCTTTTATGCCTTGATATTTTGACTTAATTATAACTTAGTTCTTATAGTTTAACAAAAATAATTAATCAATTAGTTCTTGTGGTTTTAGAGATTCTTGTTTAGTTCCTAATAATTTCTTTTAACTTTATTTAATTCCATTTTATATTAATTATTGATTTCATATTTATTTCTTATTTTAAGAAAAAGAAAGAGTAAAAAAAATAACTTTATTCATTCTAATAAACGCCTTAATTTGTTCTGTTCGCCTTTTCTACTCTAGGTTATCTGGATATTCTTTAGGACCTCACCATTTGGTTAGCCGAATCTCTCGTAGTATTCCCCTCGTTTGATTTTTTCTGACCGTCCGATTTAATTTATGGTTTTTCATTTTTTTTAATTTGTATAAATCAGTTAATACAAGCAGTAAAACACAAGCCAAGAGGCCGTCTACAATATTCTATAATAAGAAATGATGGAGAAAAATAAAATAAAATTTGGACAAAATGCATGTAGGGATCTAATTGGATTTTTCTTATAAATGATATTTTTCATTTAATCTAATTTAACTTAATGAATATTTTTGACCAATTTCGCAAAACTTATATTCCTTGAAATCATGCTCTTGGAAGAAGCTCAGCCGATTCAAGGCGGGCCCCCATTAACTGGGGTCCACTCGCCTTATTTCGGAAACTGAACCATTAATTTGTAGCTTTCTTTGGAGCCATCACAACACGTGCACCACAGTAAAAATCGGGAAACTAGACCAGAATGATGAGCTAAGGTGTGATTGGTAATGTTGTGGTTTAAATTCTTTTTAAATTGTTTTTAATTGAGAAAAACTATTAAATTAATATCTATCTTAGATTTTAATATGTTTATATCAAAAATAAAATAAAAACCTAAAAAGTTATTATTTTAATACGTTTTAAATTAAATAAAAACAACTCTAAACCATATCATCAAACAAACACAGTACCTTACTCAAAAGCTAGGTGGTGATTAATGTATATTAGCTGTCATATTGCATGCTTTTTGGCATATCTAACTCCTATATATATGAAGGCCGCAGGTCTCTCTTGTCTAGCTAGCTCAACGACAGGCTATGGCAACCAAAAACTGTTTCTTGCCAACTCTGCTTCTCGTTCTTGGTACAGTGACTTCAAATGTAGCAGCTGCTGCACCAAGCCACACTAACATTGCTTCTCTTAACCGTAGCAGTTTTCCAGGAGGTTTCATCTTTGGGACAGCATCATCAGCTTACCAGGTTAGGATAATACTATGGTTTGTTTTCTCCTAGGTTTTGAATCCTGATGAGATGTTGATAGGAAATTAAAGCTGTCTTCATGATTTTTGTTCTTGTTTTTTCCAGTATGAAGGTGCAGCAGCTAAAGGAGGCCGAGGACCCAGTATATGGGATATTTACACCCATAGACATCCAGGTTCTCCTCTCTTTGTAGCTTTAGTTTGGTTGATAATTATTCTACTTGCGTTTTAGCTATTTAATTCTGCTTTTCTTCCTTACTAAATAAATGCTCCTACAATTTTAATCTGAACAACGGGTCATATGCATGTCTCATCCCAAAAATTTCCCTTCCATTCTAATATTATTGAAATTTTACAGCAGCCATGTTGAAATTTTAAGGCACCAACTGTTTATTTTCTTATTGTTTTTTTTTTATACGTAATAATTAGTGCTTATTGATTGATTACATCTTAAGTTTTAAGAAATTAATGCTTTATTATTTAATTTTATATTTTCAAATCTTATAGAGTCATCCCCGAAAAAAATTATTAAATTTCTCTTAACAGATCAATATAATAAATGCACTTTTAAGATTGTTAAAAAAAATTAATATTAGGTGACATATAAATTGATTTGAAGATACCATATACTAAAAAAAAAAATACATGTATTCAACCTCACCAGCACATTGCATATGCCCAATTTAATTTTGGTGCCGCAGTCGCCCTTGACCAGTAAAAAATAGAAATGCTCATCTATTAATTAAAGAATCTTATTGACTATAGCATCTAAGTGATTATAATATCAACCCCCCCCCCCCCCCCCCACCCACCCCCAAAATAAATAAATAAATAAATAATAAATAAAGACCCTAACATTGGTTTTTTTTTTTATCCTAACATGTTTTCTTTATTTATTTATTATCTTTACGAAGTATATGATATACAATATTGTATCAAGTTGGCCATGAAATTCAATTTTTTGAAAGCCTCAATCTTTTTATCTTATTATTGTCTTTGGACACAGCGTTATGGACAAAATATAGCAGACCAATGCTTTAAAAAACAAAATGACTATTTACCGTAGGATTAGAAATTATTACATCATAAGACTAAGCATATTTCCTCAAAAAATTGTTCAAATTCTCTAATATTATTCATAACAATTAGTTTTACTCTTGTTATTTTTATGTTCGGATTCGGAGTTTTTTTGGAAAAAAATAAACAAAAATTAAAAGTATTGGGTTACGCCTTCGTTAACATCTCGTATTCATGACCATAGTATAACGTACATATTAAGTACAAGATATTAATTAGTGTCGTTTCACATGTTTAATGAACAACGCCTAACCTGATTTGAGAAGCAGCATGAAGCCTTGCAACTATAGGGTTGAACAATACTCTATAAACGGGAAAAGTCAGGAGATTAATTTTAGAGGGTGTAATTTAATTAATTAAATTTTAAATTTATATTGTAAAAATTATTAATTTAAGTATTATAAATTTAAAAATTATTAAAAATTTATATAATTATTAAAGATCTTAGAAAATTAATTGAAATCTATATAAGCTGAAACAAATATAAAAATAAAAGATAAAAATACAATATATGAGATATAAAACCATCATCTATGTTACTTTTTATTTTTATTTTGATCTTTTAATTTTTTAATTTTTTTATAGTAAAAATATAATAGAGTGGTAATTTGATTTCAGAATAATTTAATTGTGTAAAAAAAAAATTAAGAACCACATTATTATTTTTTTAAAAAATATCTATACCAATTCACAATAATTAAAAAAAAAATATCTATACCAATTCACAATAATTTGTGAATGGATGAACAATAATTAAAGCTGTAGTGTTTTGGCCCCAAGGCTTAATTTCTGTTAATACTAGTTTTGAATAATTATCTTCTTTAGTTATTACCATTATTGTCGATAGTTACATTGGATATATATAAAATTAGTAACCTGTTATTACTTTTTTTTTTCTTGTTTTAAGAAGTTGATTATTCTAATAACTTATTATCGTAAAGGACAAGTGGGGGCAGACACCCTTCGCCTTTCCCAAGTTGTCTCTTGCGCTGCACAGATCAAACATAGGCATCGATTCTTGCCTAGCCATGTTGTCTATTATATTTATTTATTTATTTTTTCATAAAAATACGTGCATGGTGAAATGACAGGCAGGATACAGGATGGATCCAGCGGAGATGTGGCTATTGATTCATATCATCGCTACAAGGTATATAAAATTACCGACAAGGGAAAGAAAACAAAAGTAGAAAAAACCCCGTTGATTTCAGTGTATTATGAGTTATATGCTATCCTTTTCAACTGCTTGTAGATCAAGGGGTTAATGTAATTTTGTTGTCAAATTATTTCACAGGAAGATGTTGGCATAATGAAGGAGATGGACTTGGATGCTTATAGATTTTCAATATCATGGTCTAGAATATTACCAAGTAAGCTTTATATATATATTGCGTTCAAGCGCCAGAATTTGGTCAAGAAAACAAAATACAAATCTACAAAGAATTAACTTCGGTAGGGTTATCAAAACAAGGAGGACAACAAGATTAAGCTATTGTTTGATATTGTGTTTTAAACGAGGGTTGGTTAAATTTTATTTTTTTTAGTTTTAGATTATTTTAATGTGTTAATATTAAAAATAATTTTTAAAAATAAAAAATATATATTTTAAATAAAAAAATAATTTGAAAAGCAATTTATAATACTTTAGCACTTTAATTATAAGAAACCAAAAAAAAAAATAACAACACACAAAAAATACAGCTTTGTCTTCATGTTACCAAACTAAATTTGATATATTTTCACCGAGATGAATTTGTTAACAATTATTAATCTTTAAAACTTAATTAGGTTTTTTCGGTTGATCACACAACTAAATTGAACATCATCTCATGATTAAAAGTGCCTTTGATGTTCTTAATTATTAAGTCAAATTAACAAATATTTATTGACATCTTTCGAAATATCTAATATTTATTTACCTGAATCCTCTCAGATGGAAAGCTAAGTGGAGGTGTTAATAGAGAAGGAATCCAATACTACAACAACCTCATCAATGAGCTTCTAGCCAATGGTTATAATTAATCTTATAATTTCTTTTTAATTTTCTTTCAAGAAATCTTGGCATGGGCAAATAGCTTATTTCTTTCTTTAATTTTGTCATACACAGACATACAACCATTTATAACTCTCTTTCATTGGGATCTCCCCCATACCTTAGAGGATGAGTATGGAGGTTTCTTAAGTCCTAGAATTGTGTAAGTAACTTAACTAAATTCCTTAATATATCTTCTTCTTTTTTTTTAATAATTGAGTGTGTTAATAAAAAAGTAGTAATTTAAAAGATAACCCTTACAAAATTAAAGTTTATTTACGGAAAAATGAAATATCTGCAATTGCTTAGAAGACTTTAAGTCTAGGTTTTAAATTTATGATCTACCCACTTGGTGCATCTAAATGTTTAGGTCCTTCCCACATCTCACTGAGATTAATTATTGATTGATAAAGATTTCACTCTTTTTTTTTTTTTTTTGCAAAAGTACCAATGGGCCTGTGGCCATTGATGCTTTGTTACCACATAATGAAGATTTTGGATTCGTCATCGAATGATGAAATATTTTCGACACCTATAGTAATGAAGGTGATATAATTTCCTTGATTAAATTGTTATCTTGGAACTTATAAATTGAATTATTAACATATGATCATGATTAGGGCGTATAATCCCATTATAATACCGTTGATCAGATTGATAGTTATCTAGAATTAATTATCGGGATGGCATTTCTTCACAAGAATTAGTATGGTGTAATTTTTTTTACTAATCAAATACCATTTGTTTAATCACAGGAATGATTATGAGGACTACGCAGAGATTTGTTTCAAAGAATTTGGCGATAGAGTAAAGTACTGGATCACATTGAATGAACCATGGACCTATAGCATGGGTGGTTATGCTGCAGGTTTGCTAGCACCAGGCCGATGTTCAGATTGGCAAGGACTAAAATGTGATGGAGGAGATTCAGGAACAGAGCCATATTTAGCAGCCCATTATCAGCTTCTTGCCCATGCCAAAGCTGTACATTTGTACAAGAAAAAATATCAGGTTCAATGCGTTACTAATTCTATAAGATGTTTAACTTCTTTTAAGATTGCCTTTGATATAGAAATAACATATACGTATATCAGACACAAAAATGTATTTTTGTTGGTATCTATGATTAGTTTCAGCCTTAAACATTACAAAAAAGGCGTTCAATTACTTCATTTATTTATTTATTTATTTTGTTTGTGAACTTCTGCAGAAAACTCAAAAGGGAGTGATCGGGATCACATTAATTTCTCAATGGTTTGTGCCATTTTCTGACGCCAAACAGGACCAAAATGCTGCCAAGCGGGCACTGGATTTCATGTTGGGATGGTATGTATCTAGCTCGTGACGGTTTATTATTTTATTTATTGTTATTTTATATTCACGCTATTTTAGTCATAAATCTCAACTTGGAAATATATGTATATTTGCAGGTTCATGGATCCATTGACAAATGGTGACTATCCGCACACAATGCGATCTCTTGCTGGAGATCGATTGCCTAGATTCTCTCGAGAGCAATCCGAAATGATAAAAGGATCATTTGATTTTCTTGGGTTGAATTACTATACTACTAATTATGCAGCTTATACGCCCCATTCTAATTCTCCGAATGCAAGCTATTTAACAGATTCTCGTGCTAATCTTTCGAGTAAGCATGATCAGAAATTATACCACCAATTTCGAGTGTTTATTCGAAAGTAAACTCATCATCATAATCAATACCATATAATTCTTTTTTCCATGTTTTTATATGTAGCTGAGCGGCATGGTGTTTTGATAGGTCCAAAGGTACGTATCAACTTTAACAATTTAGATTTTTAAATTAAGATATTTTTTTATATAATGTTAAAATTTTAATGATTAAATGACCTTCGGCTTTGGGAATGGAATGGGTGTGGTAGGCCTATCGCATGTATTACAATGGCTTTGAGACGTAGGCCAGACTAGGCTTAAAAGGCTCACACCCCATTAATCATATCAACCCATTTATTATAGTTCTATGGCCATAGATTTATACTGCCAAAAAAGTCAGTGAGCTCCTCGCAGGATCATACAGCAAGTTCAGAAAAATAAACTAAAACCATGCTGCTAACTCACTAGACCTGCGCCAATACTCAACCGTAGGGTTCCTTTCCCTTTAGTACATGACTGTAAGTTACCATTTTCAGCACCTTTGCCATCATGTTGATTGAGTTGGACACGCTCTGCATATATATAGACGCCATGGCTTCCAATCCATGTTGTTTTTGCAAGTGTCAGCTGTACTGATAGTTTAAGTTTCAAGTCCACCAGGGTTCAACGAAGATTTTATTTTCTCAGCCCTTATCTTCCTCCTCACCACATTGTTGTGTTTTCTTGAAATGAAATATCGCAGGCAGCTTCAGATTGGCTTTACATTTATCCAAGAGGAATTCGAGACCTTTTGCTCTATGTGAAGAAAGAGTACAGAAATCCACTCATTTACATCACTGAAAATGGTAAATACTTTCTCATTAAAGCCAGGATTATTTCAAAGCAAAATATAAGATGCAAAAACGCCAATTTCAAACGAAATATCCTCTTTTTTTTTTCCTTTTTCATTTAGGTGTTGATGAATTTAATAATGGTTCGTTGACTCTTAAAGAGGCCCTTGTTGACACCATGAGGGTTGATTACTATTATCATCATCTTGACTTCCTTCGAAGATCAATCAAGTAAGTGCTATTTATGGACTGGAATATTCATTTTCCTGCTTAATTTCTTTGTCCTCTCCCGAAGAAAAGAGAGTGATCAGTCTTAACATTTCTTTCTTTATATATATATATATATAACGATTCATTCGTATAATTTGTTCCTTTTGCAGGGATGGTGTAAATGATTCATTCGTATCATTTGTTCCTTTTGCAGGGATGGTGTAAATGTGAAAGGATACTTTGCATGGTCGTTATTGGATAATTTTGAATGGTATGCAGGTTACACCGTGCGTTTTGGCATCAACTATGTAGACTATAAAGATGGATTGAAGAGATATCCTAAACTTTCAGCTCACTGGTTTAAGAGCTTCCTCAAAAAATAGACATATATGTCTTCTTGTAATAAATTAATTTTATTGAAAATTAACATGATAAACAGTACTTTTTTAGTGCTAAGGATAGCATATAAAATACAAAATACTAGTTAGATGTTACGTGCTATTTCATGGATTCACCTTTTATTTTTATAAAAAATTAGGTCTTCACGGTAGCAGGACCCAAACAAAGAGAAGGTTTTTTAGTATAATAGAAGCAAATACAAGTTTTGAAGAACTCCTCAAATATGAATCCCAAATAATATACTTAATCCTTGTAACACATTATAAATTTCTCTTGTGAGCTCTTTCTTGAGCACACAAGAACATGCTACGGTAGCAGGACCCAAACAAAGAGCTCTTTCTTGAGCACACAAGAACATGCAAGATGATTCTAAGAAAAACTAGGCCTAAGCAAAATCTTAATCCTAATGGATAGATAATCAGTAAAATCCTGATTCTACGATGACTCCTTTCTAGATAAAACAGTTCTAAGCTTATAAGATTTTCAGAATTTAATTTGAATTCTTTATACAATAATTATACAATAAAGATTTTAATTTACGCTACATCTTAACCATCCGATAAATAGTAGAAAAGTTGTCACCAACATATTAGAACATGAGGATTTCAGCGGTCACTATTAGAAAATTGAAAGAAAAAAAAGCTGATGAAAATTTTTCATCGTTGATTACTGATAAAATAATCACAACAGAAAATTTTTATTAGTAATTTTTGATGGAAATAGTGATGAAATGAAAAAAAAAATTAAAAAATCATTAGCATTGCTAACAAGTCAAAATTACAGACAAAATTCCATATTTGATTTTAAAATGAATTAAAACATGACAGCTCCTTTCCTCTCCCCATTTCTTCTCCTTCTTCATTTTACAAAACACTGCAGCAACCCTCCTCCTCATAAATCCAATTGCCTCCCTCCCCCTTCATGGCACTGTGCATTCATAAGAAATTATATTGATGCGATCCTTTCCTTTCTTTGAATTCGGAATCAAAATACCTAGAGGAACAAACCCATTTTCCACATCCAAAAACTTAAGAATTTAATTTCTTGAATTCGGAATCAAAATACCTAGAGGAACAAACCCATTTTCCACATCCAAAAACTTAAGAATTTGCTAGGTTGTTTTAAGGATTTGCTGCTAGATTGCTCATGTCTTGGATCATGCGGCACAGTGTATTTCTAAAATTATGTGTTTGAGTGGCTGCTTGCAGTTTGTGCACTGTGGATGCAGATGAAGGCATTCGAATGGGAATTATGCCCCTTCACATCCAGAACAGATGCAAGCAAATGGTGTCCTCGTACACAAGAGTTCGGATTTTTTAAGTAAAAATTTGTGGATTCAAGGTATGCAGACACACAGACTGCAAGTGCCCTATCCAAATTTTCCCTCTTCGCAACGAGTAATGAGATTTCCATGAAATGGTTACGTCCTAATCGATGCACAAGATCTTGAAAAGATCAAGGATAATGCTTTCAGACTCCCCACAGAGCTTGATTGTTTTCAATTAGAAACTTCTTCTGTTTGCACGATGTTATAAAGGGTAGCGTTACCTTAAATTTTCAGATATGATTTTTTCCCTTATTTAATAAATAACAAGAAAAGTAGTGTTTCGGGCTGCTATATAAGGTTACTCAAGAAATATGGCTTCCCAAAAGTCTTAAAGATTTTGAAAGATTAAACCGCAAAATGGGATAGAGAGGAAATCTGAATTGCATTTGACATCAAGTATTGTGCTTGAATATCTGATTACCCTACCATATTATACATGGCAAAATTGCTTACATGATTAACATTAGCTAAACTAATTTAATGACATTAAACAAGAGAGAGAGAGAGAGAGAGAGGGTGTGTGTGTGAAGAAACAACATAATGCTGGATTAAAGTGTTATCTTGGAGCATGTAAGTGAATTAATAGCATATGATCATGATTATGGACAGTAACTCCATTATAATGTTCCAGATCAAATTAATTTTAATCTACTATTAATTGGGATCACAAAAATTAGTTGGTAAGATGCATTTTTTTTTCCTTATGAATAATCGATATTCACTAAAAGGGATGGCTAGCAAACCCCGCCCCCACCCAAAAAAAAAAAAAAAATTGCCAGTAACCTGACCATATTTTATTTGAATTTTGATAGCTTGTGGGTCAACTTGTAATTTAATTATCTGAAATTTTGTTAAATTTAGATAAGATTTAGTTAGATAAACTTCAAATATTTTTTAAAAAATTAAACTAATATTATTTTAGACAAAATAATAGCATGATTGACTCGATAACTTACTTAATTAACTTAAAAATTAAGTAACCTGAATGATTAACTTGATCATTAACTTGGTCAAGTTTTTCACAATTATGTCTAAAACAAAAAATAATCTCATTCAACAACTATAATATATTTTATGTTAATCTTATTCAGAAAACTCAAAACTGAGTGAGTGATAGGTATCACATTTCTCGCTAGTTTGTGCTGCTTTCTTGTGCCTAAGATAACTGCCAAGAGAGCACTGGATTTCATGTTCCGATGGTATGTATAGGATACTCTAGCTAGCTTGATGTGTGATATTTTATTTTTTTTTAATTAATATAGGTGTTTGGGTTAGTTTGTGTGTATTATAACTAATCTCACAGATCCTGAAGTTAATAATCATGTAAACCTTTAATGGTCATCATATGAGCAATTAAGAACTCAAACCTGAAACAACAAAACAAACAAAACTCTTAATTCTAAATTTTTATCACTTGACCACCGACTAAATCTCACCGATCCTGAAATTAATAATCATGTAAACCTCTAATGGCCATCATATAAGCAATTAAGAACTCAAACATGAAACAACAAAAAAAGCAAAACCTTTAATTCTAAATTTTTATCACTTGACCACCACCTAAATGATTGATATGTGATATTCTTAATTATTTAGATTGATATTAAATTAATTAATTAAAATATAGCTTAGAATCTCCACATCAACCATCAATGTCCTTAGCCCAATTAATTAATATAGTCTATATATTCTTTGTGGGAAAAATTAATATATTTTTGAAAATTTATTACAAATACTTAAGAACATTATCATATAAATAACATCATAAAAAAACCCACCAAACATAACCTGCTGACTAAAAGCCGATCTCATTGACTACGAACCAGTCATGTATTTCAATGCATTCTTGTCGTTAAAAGGATAGTAACATTTTCGGCTTTTAAAAAAAAAAACTGGGAAAATTTTGTTTTTTATTGACTGTAGGAATTTTAATTTTACATTACCAAGTAAGAATGATGATACTTTTCATTATTAATTTTTACTTAAAAACAAGTAAAATTTTGCAGTTTAGTTGTTCTGTTAAAATATTTCTCACATCATGTAACGCTAGCAATATTTGATCCCTACAAAAATGAAGCCATGGTAAAGGGATTACTTGAATTTCAAGTTATAAAATCTAGGTGAATTTAGTAGGTTTATTATGATTTATTGATCCAAGATTTGGATCTATTTAGATTTTAAAAAATAAAAAATAATTAATTTAATTTATTTTAGTCATTAGTCAAGGTTGATTTGCAATACACGATTTAAATTGCTCTAAATTTCAAAAAAATAAAAAAAAATTAATTTGATTTACCTTAGTTAGTTATAACCTGATTAATCTAAATAAAACTCATTGAAATATTTAATATATATATATATATATATATTAAAACAATATTATTTTAATTATTTTTTTTATAAAATAATTAAAATTAACTTGAGTTTGCCATCCTAATCTATAATTTAAAACAAATCAACCCAGTAAAATTTCAAAAGTATGCTAGAATTCTTTGGTTGAAGTACATGCTATACTCCATTTTTATGATTTTCTCGTAAAACATCAGTTGTTTTTCCCCCTTTTTGCATCTTAATTATGTCTGTGTAGGGTTATCCTCCCCATTTCCAAGATAAAACGTCTAGATTATTGGCGGGAAAATATTTTTACAGTTCAGTATTTGGCTGTAGAGCTCACACATAAGCTTCTTATACTCTTTAGCCCTAACACCACCCTTCCATAAACTCCCTTCCAATCTGAACCGTCAACCAACTCAAATCAGAAGTACTCTTAATCACAACCGTAGAGCATAACACACACACACAATTCCCCCCCACATCTCACCACACTGCATAACCAAACTCCTCTAGAAACTCTTAAACCCTGTGATATTAGGTTTGTGCATTTCTCCTGCTGAAAAAGAAAAAATTAATTCAATCACAAAATCAACAATTTTTTTTTTTCAAAAATCCAATTTTAATCGGAGCCGTTCGGATTTAGAGTCTGATATTGTGGATTTTTCGAATGGAAATTGGAGGAAGCAGTGAAAGCCAAAATGAAACAAAGAAAGGCAAATCAAAGACTCCAAGGAAACCCAAAGAAAGCCTTCTCAAACAAAGTCAGTGTTTCTCTCTATGGATTCATTATAAAAACCCCATTTTTGTTAGACCCTTTTGTTTTTTGAGTTTGATTTTTCTTTTTTTTGCAGAATCTCCAGCTGAATTTTTCGCAGAGAACAAGAATATTGCCGGGTTTGATAATGTAAGTTTCAGGTCTTGATAATGTAAGATTCGTTGTGATTGTTTTGATAGCTAGTGTTTTTTTTTTTTGATTGGGTGAAAGTTATTGTGAATTTCAGCCAGGGAAATCTCTTTATACTACAGTGAGAGAACTTGTAGAAAACTCGCTTGATTCGGCGGAATCGATATCGGAACTTCCTGTCGTAGAAATTACGATGTCAGTTTTTTAGTTTATGATATTTTTTTATGTATGTGAATGTGTGAATTATTAAGCTTGGTCATATTTTTATCTGGTTTGTTGCAGTGAGGAGATAGGGAAAAGTAAGTTTAATTCAATGATTGGTCTTGTTGATCGAGAGCGTGTTGATGCGCAACTTTATGATGATTACGAGACTGCTAAGGCTCGTGAGGTGTGTGTGTTGGGTTCTATTCTGGATTCTGATATTGGGTTTTGGCAGTTTGTTGAAATTAAGCTGTTTGTGGTGTGTTTTGAGTTGTGCAGAAAAGATTGGCGAAGGAAGCTCG